CTGCAACTTTTTTCTTTTGTCGAAAGGATGTCCCTGGGATATCCTTCGGACGTCCTAGGGATATCCTTTCATCGTACTTGGTACATCCCAGGGACGTACCAGAAGGACATCCCTTGGATGCCTTTTTAAGCGGCCAGCAGATGTCCCTGGGACATCCCTAGTATGTACGTTGTCCCGACAAAGGATATCCCTGGGATGTCCTAGTATAAAATCAGGGACGTCCATGGGAAGTCCCTAGGATGTACTGGTGTTGTGTGGTCTTGTGGGTGAAGGTGTGTGATGTAGTGGTTTATTACGAAGAACAAAATGATCGATGAGATTCGGAATTAAAATTTCTGGGTTTTATTGACAATTCTCATCATGACTCCGTAGGAACTGTAAATATATACGTGTTCAACTTCTCATTTCTCAATAAATTCGTCAGTATGCATATAAATGATATTTCTCCGAAAAAATCAATAGGAAATGTCAAAAAAAACTTTCAGAAAAACCCAGATATTTTCATTCAGAAACTAGTCGTATTTTTTGATCCTTGCAAAAAGAATAACTTTGGATCATGAAAAGAAAGTGTAGATAGGATATTTATTTTCATTGCAGTAATTCAAAGCACGGTTTCATAATGCATACCATCGAGCAATTTTGATTAGATAATCTAATTACCACTGTCTGATGAATATATTACAGTAAAAAAATATTGATATTACTGTTGAAAATGAGCTATATTACAATAGCATGTCAAAATGTCAGGTTTCATTCAGACATCAGATAACTATAATGAAATGAGACGAATTACTGCGTTACCTCAAGATGGTTGTGCCAGTAATGAAAACAGGCTGTTTTATGACGATAGTCGAATAACCACTGTAGAGTGGATTAGTTACTGCAACATTTATAGGAATAATTTCTATTCGAGACTTTGTGTTATCATAGAAACAAGTACAAGTTGTAGTTATTCAGCAGCGGTGTTTATACAAGTTCGCGAATTTAATATGCTTCCATAACGAAAAGCCACCTGAAAATTCACTTCATCTATGGTTGGTTTGGAATATTATCAACTCTACAGTGTGTCCTGATTCATATGCAACCACCCCAGGGAAAACTGAAAAACTCGAAATCTTAGCCTACTTCCTCGCCTACTACAGTGTAATCTAATCTTTGGTGGAAGTCCATATATTGCTCAAAATGGAGTGACATTTTTCAAAGGAAGGACTGCTCCAAGTCATCTCCACAAATTTTAATGATGTTGTCACACAATCAGAAGTGATATGTTTCGGTCTTATAAACGATCTTCTTCAGCCTAATTACATAATCCGTTCTTGACTCACTTGGAGTAAATATTAAAAACAAATATATTCCAAATTGAATAGACATATAGACATAACATAATAAATAAATAATGGTTTTCCACTTCATTCACTCCACAAGTGAGCTGGGGCAGAAAGAACGACTGGGGCAGCGTGCACATACTGGGCTGCACGTACTGGAGCAAGCATGTGCAAGTGGGGCAGAATATACCTTCTGTACTGGGGCAGAGTATACATTCAGTACTGGACCAGAGTATACAATATCTACTGGGGCAGAGTGTGCAGCTGGAGCTAGGTAAACTGGAGTTTCATGCTTCTCCACGACTGTGTTGAACATGTCGTGGTTATCAGCGGAATAGTGGACTGTACGAAGGGTGCTATCGGGATCAGCTACGGAGCAGTAGCTCTTCACAGAGTCAACATCACGTTGTTCGAATTTGGGGTGAGCCTCTTGTTGGTAAAAAAGAATATAAGCATCCCCACTTACGAGAGAGTTCGACGAAATTGAAGAAACCAGGGAATCATTGTATTCGTGCCAAATTTTCGTATATAGATGTCTGGAGTTGAAATAATGTGATGCTACAAGTTATGAAATTGTTGTCAATGCCCATAGTCGGAAAAACGAGTTTATGAATGAAAAAACGGGTTCTCAATAAATGAGGGTCCCCCCTACTATACAGTGTGCTACAATTTACTCCACCCCACCCTTGTACAGTTGTCTTCAGAGATCATGTCGTGGTTGGACGGTGTCAGCGCTCTTATTGCAGGAGTTATTAGGAATGCTATCATCGTCCATGTGCGACATGTTTTCTGAAGATGACTGTACTTTCGTATTCTTAGAACGATTCATTATATTTTTTCTTATAATATATACTGCTCAAAATTATCTACTTTGTCCAGCAAAAAAAATTAGCAATTACCATTGCTTAGCCTACTGCGATCACAAAAACAAAATTGGAGAAAACGCATTAGGTATTTTTTTACGAAAATTTTGATAACGGCAATCGATTCTGACTGGCCACAAATACCACCATATTAATTTTCCAAACAATATCTCATACGGGGTGTTTTTCATCAACGTTACAACTCTTGAATAATTGCATTTTTTAAGTCACCTTGCATAATGATTCTTTCAAGAATCTGAAAAATACAAGACATGATGGTAGTCAGGATTAGATCATCTGGCTACAGAGTGGGAAATTCAGGAGAAGAAATAGATGAGAGTTGCGATAAAGAATAATAACAGTTTGCAGAAAGATACCACCAGAAGAACTGAAAAGAGATGAAAATATCGTGCGAGAGAGATATGAAAAGTGTAGGCACGGAGAGTGAAGGAGATTCGATCGAGAATAGAAACATCCGAATTTGTTAGGAATGGTTGCTGTTTTAGTTTTTCTTATTCAAATTCCTTGATGTAGGTAGTTTTTTGATTGGTATTATTTACTTTTTTTTTTTTTCATTTCTTCATAGAAAATTCAAATTTATAGTGATTTTATTCGTTATTTTTCTCACTCTGTATACAGTTGACCTGATCCTGATGACGTCCATCATGCCTGGTATCATTAAAATTCATATAAGAATTATTATATACGGTGACTTGGGAAATGAAATCATACATATTGATATAGGTGTATTTGTGACTAGTCCGAATCGATTACCATTATGAACAATTTTCTTGAAAGATGTCATATCCGTTCTCTCTGATTTTGTGATCGCAGTAGGCCAATAAATTGTGCTGGATGATTTTTTTCTGCTCGAAAAAGTAGATAATTTCGAGTAGTTTATTATGAGAAAAACCATTTCAAATCACCCTAGGAATACTAAAGTACAGGGGAGGGGTGGACCAAATTGTAACACACTGTATATATTTCTGAATTGTCAAAAATTATGTAATTGTGCTAACATAATGTCATGAAAAGTTCTGAAAGAAAAAAAACATTGGCGGAGAGTATTCCAACATTTTTTGATATCCTAGCATACTCGCTACTGAAGATACAGAACGGTCAATATGGGTGAAATCAAAATTTTCTCAAATCTATCTATGGCCATTCGATAGTTTCGTCTTTTCCAGGATATTTTGGGCTACTATAAATTCACAAGAATTCCTAGATTTTTCAATTGAAAATTCTAGCGCACTTTAATGATGTTTTGAAAATTCCAAATTACCAATGCCTCCTAAGAACTAATTCGACGTTGTTTTTTATCTCTAGCAGCGCAAGAAAGGGAATCCCTATTATATTCCAGGAACATCGTGCTTACCTAGGGAGGATAGGGTGAGAAGGTAGGCATTGGAATTGTTTTTCAACTTCTGATGGAGATTATAAGTTCTTGGGAATACCTCCATTGGCAAATAATTTTGAAGCTCTACCGTTTCATAGAAAAACGAGTTTTGGTAAAGAGTTGTTCGACATATTCCGAGGTTGACAACGAAAGGATAACTTGCGGCAACATGACCACTAAAGATGTCCACTGTCTTGTTACGGCATTATGACCATTTTCGGCGTTTTGCCATTCGGTGACCCTTTCAATTAGGGATAAAACAGCCTAGGTTAAAAGGTTTTAATTTTTTCTTACGGTCGGGAACAATTTCTCGAAATGTAAATTATTCAGTTGTTTTTATTCCTTACCCATACAAATGAACAATTCATTGTTTATTTTTCTGAATGAACAATTATTTGTGAGGTTCGATTTCAGTTCAGCCTTGATCGGACGATTACTTACTACATTCAGACTTGATTAATTATGGATTATGTCATCGAAATTTTGAATTGTTCTAGTTCGGAAATAAAAATGATTTGAATCTCAATAGTCATTGTGGATTGCTAGAACATGAACCTTTAGTGTGAAATTAATTTGATGAGAATTGATAGGGAGGAAACTTCCTCATTGCTTAATTTTGAGAAGTTGCTAATCCGAGAAAGTAAAAAATCACGAAATGACATTTAATGGACAAACATCATTGTCATTATTTATCTTCGGTCAAAAGATCACTAGAGTTATAAATTATTTAAAAGATTCATGTTTTTTTTTTATTTTTTACCAGTCTTCTAGAGTTGAATTAAGCCATAGGTTCATTCAAACCATTGATAGTATTTTTTTATTTTGGTAACTAGTATTCTTCTAAATTAAGGCTGTTGCGGTGGAGATATCATGAATTGATAAAGTATAGCAATTCATAAACATATCTATAAAATGTGATAACATTTGTAATAATTTATTTGTAATGAAATAAAATAACACATCAATGGGCGATTGGAGAAAATCAAATATTAAAATAGTGACACATTCCCTTTCAACGTTTTCAAACATGTTTTCACAATTGAATAATTTATTTGGTTACAAAAATCGTGAATTCCTGATTACACTACTGTGAACTTACAAATAGTAGCATATCATTTGTCCATCACGATCACTGGGGACTGAGGTGCTGATGACGTCTACAAGAATCAAAACAGTTTGTAGTTATCTAGAGCAACCAAGTCAAGAAAATATAGTAAAATTAAGCAGTTATTCTTTGAATACATTATGTTTTTGATAACTATTCCAAACTCCAGATTTTTCATGTTTCAGGAAATCACTTTAATTTTCAAGACAAGAAAACGATAAAATACAACAGACAGCTATGAAATGAGAAATTATACAAAGCAGTCACTCAGTCAATTAAGAAGAAGAATGAAACAATAATAATCAGTCCTATAAGTCATAACAAAATTATAATAAAAATTAAATAATATACAATACTCTTTGTCACATGTAGACTGACTGTTTTACAGCATTAGTAGTGAGTACACGTTAGGAAATGCATCCAATATGAAGAAGTATAAATAATGAACGGAAACGATACTGTGTGACTCCTATTTTTTCTTGTTTGGAGTGTTCCGTTGAGGCGTTGACGGGCGACCAGAGTTTACGCCTTGGTATTGGTATTTTGCTTTTTTTTCTGATGGCTTCAGAATCTGGAAACAAAAGTTAACTTTCATTATTAAAATAATGGTATGCATGTCACTCATGAGTAAGGCATATTATCAATATTTCTTGAAGGTGAATTGACTCCTTAATTTGCTGTCGAAGATGTTTGCTTCTGATCTCAATACCCAGGTCGACACTAGAATTTAAAAAATGTGTCGTTTTTCATATCGTTTCGGTGCGAATTTTCGCTTGAATTCAAATATTGTTCACAGTTTTCCAATCAGTTCATAATACAGAGTGGGCCAACGAAAACGAAACAATAACTGAACAATAACTTCCTGGATGTTGCTTTGAAAAAAAAAACGCTGAAGTAGGGCAATAATTTTCAGTTTATGGAGGCTATTATATCAGACGCTCAACTATTCTATAACATCCCCCTTCCCTCCACCTGGTTGACCAAAAGAATTTGAATACGAAAATTATGGCACATTTCCGAATAGGTAATCAAATGAAGTGATTGGTAATATGAATATAAATGAGGTTTCTATCAATTTCAGTGCACTCTTGCAGAAAGAAACAATGTTATGTAGCCCAAGGTTTAGCACTTCTTTCGAAAGCTGATTTCATCATTGATTCAATGCACCAATATCATTACATGCCAATATCATAAATGTACTTGAATTATTTCAAAATATCGCCAGACTACAGAGTTCACAAACTGAAATCTTCATTTTTTACAGTCAATTCTCAAGGTATTATGTAATTATATTTAGTGCGGTGAAGTGAAAAAAAAATAATTTCAATTTTTTTTTACTCAAAAAAAGGAATGAGAACCAATTTATCATGCATGAATATAGCTGGTACTAAAGTTTGGATTGCTGCATTCGCCGCAATTTCTATATCGGAATCTGAACTTTCCTGATGATGATCCGAATTTATGCCGATGAATTATTTTCCGAATTGAACTTAACGCGTCAAAGTTGTCAGTTCGCCAAATGACTGACAACCGCGAACACAATAGATTCACGACAACACTCGCTTGTTACATATTCCTAGGTGCAATGAAAACCACTCCAACAGCCGCTTTAGAGGTCCTCTTGAACCTACCACCACTACAAATATATATTCAAGGCGAAGCCAGAGCAGTCGTGAGTAGATTGTCAAGGGGTCAAGCACCATAAGCAACGCGCACGGTAAAGACTATAGGAAGCTATATGAAGAGTTGGAAAGCGACCCCATCATAAGGATGCCAACGGATGGCATAACTCCAAAATATGCTTTGAAAAAACTTTTAAAATAAGTATAACGGACAGAGAGGCATGGAAGGAAGGACCTCCTATCAATGCAGACATTGCTGTCTATACGGACGGCTCCAAAACTGAGGAAGGATCAGGAGCTGGTATTTATGGGGCCAAGCCAAAGACAAGAATCTCACTGAGCTTAGGCAAATACGCGACGGTGTTTCAGGCAGAAATTATTGCAATACATCATTGCGTTAAATAATTGATGAGGCAAGAGTTTAAAGGCAAAACCATTGCAATCAATTCAGATAGCCAGGCGGCAATCAAAGCATGTAAGGATTTGTGGATCGACAATGGACTGTTAGGACCTGGGTTATACACTTTCTCGAATATTAAATAGACTTTTGAACACTATTCTTGTAAATTAACTGCAGCTGACAGTGATCTTCTTATCTATTCATTGTCTCGAACAGAATTGTGTCACACTGTCAAAGCCTCCTAGTCTGGTCGCAGGTTTGTTACTGGGTGGCCTGCTGCTCATTCAGATCTGTATGAGCCAGCAGTACTCACGTTAACACCCCCTCCCAAACCAAGAACCGGACAACTGATAGCAGTACTACAGAACCAACAGAAACAACAAGAAACAGACATAGTTATAGTTCAAACTGACTGAAACAACTGAAATGTATATATATTATTTTATGAAGGTATTACATTCACAATATTATCAAAGAAATGAATACAATGCAAGAAAACCTAAAACTAAATTAATCACCACCTAATACCAATCAAACTGGATGGTCAGTAGAACTAATTCATGTCAGTGTAGGCATTACTGCTGAGCCAAGTGAATAGGGTTCTTAGAAGCGAACCAAGCTTCAACAATAGAATCTAGATAATTATGTATACGTGTCCAGGGACCTAAGACCCTTCCCACAAACATGTCTTATCAACAGATCAGATGATACAAAATATAAGCAAAACCTTATATTTTCAACGGCGCGCCTTTCATCTCCAGGGACCGAAGACCCTTCCGAATCAAGGTACTAGTGTTTGTCAAAGCCTTTCTCCAGGGACCAAGGACCCTTCTGATCAAACTCTAACGCACACTTTTTTTTTAACAGACAAAAAATTTAGTTTGCTACTATCAAGGTGTATGCATACTCAACTGTTACTCAGATCGCAAGTGGAAACAAGACGATCACGTAAAGAACGAAACTTAGTTGAAAGTAAAGGTTTCGTAAGAATATCAGCAAGCTGGTCGTTGGTACCAATTTTTAGAATATCAACTTTCTTCTCACGTACATGTTGACGTATTAGAAGGTATTTCCGATCTATGTATTTCAAGCGGCTTTTACTGGTGCTCGTTAAACAATTTTGTCTTGCAGCTTCATTATCTTCATATATAGGTACTGGAAAAGCAACAAGATCAACTATTTCTTTCAACAACTGGGCTAAAAACAGAACTTCATTAACTGCATGGGTCAATGCAATGAATTCAGCCTCGGCTGAACTTTGTGCAATGGTGGATTGAAGTTTAGAACACCACAAAACATGATTACCAAATGCTGAAGCAACAAATCCAGTCGTTGACTTTTAACTAGATTTATCACCAGCAAAATCTGCATCACAATAGCAGGTCAATATAGGAGAGCCAACTGTATACTTAAGACCCAACTGGCTGGTTCCTTTCAGATATCGAAACACTCTTTTCACAAGAGTCCAGTGATATTGCTGGGGATTTGACTGAAAACGGGCAAGATAGTTAACTGCGAAAGAGATATCGGGTCTTGTAAACAAACTCAGATACAGTAAAGAGCCTATTGCTTTTTTAAAAGGAAAACTTGCCTCATTCGAACATTCTTGTATTTTATGTTTTCCTTGGGGAACCAACGGGGTATCAACAGAATTTGAATTCTCCGTGCGGAACTCCTTCAACATATTATGTACTAATTGCGTCTGATGAAGAAACAACTGATTGTCAGACTTCATGATTTCTAGTCCAAAAAACTTTGTTGGAAAACCAAACTGCTTCAAGTCAAATCGTGACTTCAATGACTCAGCAGTTTCTTTTATAATTTGAGCAGAAGTTCCAGATACTAGTATGTCATCGACATATACTAGAATTAGTATCAACTGGCAGCCTTATATCTCTTCTGTCTTTTCTGTACTCCTGTTACTCATACTTTCGTTCAATCTCTCCTACTGCCATCAGCGTCATTATTCACAATATTCATAATATCCATAATATACAGTAGTGAATATTTAGATGCTACAATGTTAAGAATTGACCGGCATTTATCGACATTTTTGACGCAATGATACATGCGAATAATTCTCTTTTGAATGTAGACAAAAATTACTCAATAAGCTCACTGAAAAATTTGTGACTCTCGTGGAATGCACCATTAAGTGGTCAAAACGATTTAGTTGTATATAATGTATTAAAATGCGTATAGCCACTTTGAACTGGCACTCCATTCAAAATACAAATAAGGTAAGTAGCCTCGATAATTCTCAATCCCTTAGGTATATTTTGGACATGTTCACTGTAAACATTTCGGCTTTGAAAAACTTAGGGTTTCCTACGAAACAATGGGATTTTATAATATTTAACATGATCTTTGATAGATCAGACGCACCTACGGCGACTAGGTTTGAAATGGAGCATTCTACACTAGAAGATAAACATTTTTTCGAAACCTTAAAATCAGTTTTGAATAAGCAGTTTATAGCATTCGACACAGTCTCCTATTTGAATATTTCCAACTCAAATTTAAAAATAAGATCTGATCCATACAAGAGTAAATTCACACGTACTTCTCAAGGCTACAAAGCTAGAAGTAATTTATTAGTAGTTAATTCAAGTCAAAATGCCAATTGTCAGTTATGCAAGAAGGATCACTTGATCTATAATTGTGTTTTAGCAAATTCTCCGGAAGAGAGATATACTCTTGTGAAAAATAATAAATGGTGCTGGAATTGTCTTGGATTTCACTTCACAAAATTGCACTTCAACAAGTATATAAAAAATTTCATAGATGTATAAACCCAAAGGATTTCACTTCACAAAATTGCACTTCAACAAGTATATAAAAAATTTCATAGATGTATAAACCCAAAGTCATCTCCACCACATTAATTTGACGATTAGAGACCAATCACATAGAGGTACATGTTTCGGCTTATATAAGCTCATCATCAGCCGAATACAAGATTTTAGTTACTCTGAAGATTTTGGGTCTCCAATGGAATCCCACACAAGACACATTCGGGTACCAAGTAAGATATATTGACAAACCATGTTCTAAACAAGTATTTCTACATGAATTGGCCCGTTATTGAGACCCCCTGGGTTTTCTCACCCCAACTACACTCTTTCTTAAAATTCTTATCTAGACCTATTGAACCTTGGGAATTGATAGCGATAGTGCCCCACCTGAAAGCATATCTCACCTTTTGTCTAGACTCAAGGCTAAAATGTGCTCCTTGTCAACGATTAAAATACCTCGTCGTAGAACAACTGCTGCAGCATCAATATGTGAAAAACTTGGTTTCAGCGACGCCTCTGAACGAGGATATGCAGCTGTTGTGTATCTCCTGACTAGCACGAGTGCTGGATATTCCACTCAACTTATATGTGCCAAATCTCGCGTGTCTCCTCTGAAATGAATATCAGTTCCTACACTAGAATTGTGTGAAGCCCTACTCCTCGCTGATCCGATTTTTTATGTTCAAGGAATTTTCAAAGGAGAACTATAATTGAAAGATATATCCGCTTATACTGATTCTACTATAGTCCTGGA